GCAGCGAAACTCCCTTCACACTCAGTCAGAAAGATCAAGAAGACTGACGAAGAGAATGTATAAAGACACATTCACAAATCAGGAATGCTCTGAAACTCTTACTCGCCTTTACGTTCAGTTCGCAGGCTACACTTGGCGAATAAAAACCCAATCTGCGTAGGCAACTATATTATTTCATAGACCTGGTACCAAATAAGGAAATGTGCCCCTCTAAAAGAACACTAGAAAACTGTGAAAATGCAATCGATACGGTCCCAAACATGGAAGTGATATCGAGGGGGGACACCTCGGTGGCAGCAACCAATTAGTGCGCATGGTAGCGAAAAAAAACAGTACGAAGCGGGATGAAAGTGGTGGAAGGACTTCTAAATAACTTGGATTTAATTACTCTCTAGTAGAAGGCAACCTCGTGTACTAATGGAACTTATAACTTCAACACTTCGATATGCAGAATATGGGTTGCAAACATTTATACTAAAAAGAACTGCCAGTCTAACGATGGATGTAAGGAATGAGATTCGCAGACAGAAAAAGAAGACATTTGTGTTTGGAAAAGAAAGGCAGAAATTTGAAATAATGACATAGTAGGAAAGAAAGGCATGCTGACTCGGACAAGCCATGCAACGGAAGGAAGCACGAACAACCCAAAAACAAAGGCCCAAAAATCGGTTTTACAACAGCTGGTGGACAGAGTAGATACGGACCTGTTCTCTTCCGAAGGTTTGTGTTTGCCCGAGCCCCCCAGCTCCCAACAGAACATCATGCTGCTTGCACTGATCAGAGGTCAAGGGTCTAAACTGATTGAAGAGGGGCTCTTCCGAATAGACAATACGGTCCCCAGAATTGGTACTATGTCCGTCACCAGCAGCATTAGAATCCATGGGAGCGGAACTGGACCAGAGACGAGATGAATTCTGCAGCAAGTTCTCATCCACGGGGGAGGAGGGCTAAAGAGGGCAACGACCACTGAAACATCGACTTTACTATCAGATGAAATTTAATCAAATGATGACACCTTTATTCTTCGTTAAAGCAGCCAAGTGTAATAGATCACAAACTTCCCTCGTCGTATGTTATACTAACTTATTACCCGGACTATTGGTTTGTTTCTCATTTTAGTTCCAATATGTCAATTGTAAGATTAGGTAAGTCCAACTGTAGGGTATTTTATTCATCCTGATTCTTCCA